GTACGAACCACAGCCCAGCTGTGGTTCATACATTCGTAATGTTCGTTGGACATTAGGTGCCTGTCCAGCGCCTTCTTGAAGATAGAAGGGGTTCTATTGGTAATCCCTCTCATGTATACTGGGAGGCAGTTGAACAGTCTTGTGCCCCTGACACTTACTTACACTTACATATACAGGACCTTAAATTCCAATATTAACCTTGACCTAAAATGCTTTCTTGATAGTTGTGACAGGACCCACAAGCATAACACCAGACACAAACATCTCTACGACATTCCCCGTGTCCGACTAAACCTTTACAAAAATTCAATGTATGTCAAAGGCCCTAAAATCTGGAACACCCTACCTGAAAACTCTAGAACTGCAGACACATTCATCACCTTCAAAACTACTGTTAGAAAACATCTTATCTCCCTGATACACCCTGTCAACTAACTACATAAAAACCACCTGGTGGTTCACACTTACACTCACTCACTCACTCACCCATTTGACCATAAGCACAGAAATATGTATCTTAATCTTAAAATAATGATTCCTAACTAGTCACAAGTTTGCCTGTGATACTCCAATATAGAAACTATGTATTGTGCCATAACAAAAGCATTCACATTGCTAAACTCACAAACTAGTATTTAGTCACTTAGTATTTAGTCAACTTACTCCACAATTTGTAATAATTTAGGGTTAAGAATTAATCTAAGTTTGCCCGAAATGCCTAGCCATGCTAGGTGTTCTAGTGGCCCCTCTGCAATTAGTATTTTATTACATGTAAACCACACAATAACCAAAATCTGTAAACCCCGCATTGTAATCCTTATCGAGAATAAACTTTGATTTGATTTGATTAGTGTACTCATGGCACTGCTACTTTTCATTGAGAGGATTTTGCATCTCCTGCCAAGTCTTTTGCTTTCATAGGGAGTGATTTTCATGTGCAAATTTGGGACTAGTCTCTCTAAGATTTTCTAAGTGTATACAGCCTTTCCTCACTTAGTGATATACTACTCATTTACCAACGACTCGGACTTACGACGGGCTCTCTGACCAGTATGCATACCTGAATAATGTATATTAGAACTGATTTCCTCTATTCTGTTTATTACAATATACAGTACACTACTGTATAAACATTTAAAAATAGACCAAAAATTTTATAAATGGTGTAAAGGTGACATTAAAACAATATCAAAGATGGTAGACACAAACCCACTACTGTTATAGTATGCTCCTTGCTTAGCAACAAATTCTTTTACCGATGTGGTCTTGTATTCCAGGGAATACAAATCAAGGGACTTTCTCAGTAGTTTAGGTGTTTTATCAAATTTATGCATGCCATGAAAGTTCTCTCTACATTCTCCAGGTCTGAAATTTCACCTGTCTTGAAATGGGCCATTAGTGTACAACAATATTCCAGCCTAGAAAGAACAAGTGATTTGAAAAAGAATTATCATGGTCTTACATCCTTAGTTTTAAAGGTTCTCATTATCCATCCTATCATTTTCCTATCAGATGTGTTAGATACATTATTGTGATTTATGAAAGGGAGATCCTCTGACATTATCACTCCCAGGTCCTTCACATTAGTTTTTTGCTCTACTGTGTGGTTGGAATTTGTTTTTGATACAGTTTTAATTTCCTTGAATTTTCCGTATCAAAGTAATTGAAATTTCTCTTCACTTAGCTTCATGTTGTTTTCCACAGTCCATTTAAAGATTTGGTTGATGTCTGTTTGGAGTCTTTCAGTGTCTTTGATGGGTGACACTGTCCTGCAAATTTGAGTGTCATCCATAAAGGAAGACATGGTGCTGTGGCTTACATCTCTGTCTGTCAGATAAGAGTATAAGGAACCGGATGGGGGTAAGTACAGTGCCTTGTGAAATGGATCTTTTCATTATAGCAACCTCAGATTTTATTCTGTTTACTATTACTCTTTCTGTTCTATTTGTTAGGAAGTTATAGATCTATCTACCAACTTTTCCTGTTACATTACACATTTTGTACGTTATTACACCATGGTTGCACTTGTCGAAGGTTTTCACAAAGTCTGTGTAAACTACATCTGCCAGCCAGAGGATCACAACAGCCAAAGAACCTCTGCAGCCAATGCTCACCTGGCAAATCTGAGTGAGACCTTTAGGAATCTCTCTCAGTAGTACCACACCAGTAACCAGTTACCAGTGTTAGTAGTCACTCACTACCAACCGTTTGTGTGAATTACTTGTTATTCATTGTTACAGCTGACCCTAGCATGTTTTGAACGCCGCTCACCCCTAGGCATCATTCATGAGTCAGTCGTAAAGATAGGGAGCAGAGAGGCAGGTCAGGCTGGGCGCTTCCCATATATTCCGTTTTAATTATAGTACTCCATTATGCCCATGTAAGTACCCTTTACCCAGTCCGCGTTATTGAACCCAATGGGACAAATTGGTGGCAGCGTTGTAGGCGTGGATTTACGGGTATTTCCGACGTTGAATATAGACTGATTGATCAAATTTTTTGTATCACTTCTATTGCATAATCCCAATGTTGAGTCTCATTCTACGAGTTGTGCTATAACATACTACCTTGTAATGCATTACAGTAAGTTACGCTCACTTCCATTCCAATATTTTCTTTATGTATGTTATAATATTCAATTGTTGTGTACTTTGAAATTGTATAGAATCAGCCCAAGCCGTACGCCTGCCATCTCTAGTTTGTATTAGCTGTATGTCGGGATGACATACGTCAACGTCGCCGAGCTCTCAGTAGTACCATACCAGTAACCAGTTACCAGTGTTACTAGTGACTCACGACCAACCGTCTGTGTGAATCACTTGTTATTCACTGTTACAGATGACCCTAGCATGTTTTGAACGCCACTCACCTCTAGGCATCATTCGTGAGTCAGTTGTACAGATAAGGAGCAGAGAGGCAGGTCAGGCTGGTCACTTCTCATATATTCCTTTTAATTATACAGTGGACCCCGAGAGCTCATCATAAGCCGAAATTATCGTTAGCAGAATTAATTTTCCCATAAGAAATAATGAAAATCAAATTAATACGTTCCTGACACCCCAAAGCATGAAAAAAAAATTTTACCACATGAAATATTAATTTTAATACACACAAACTGAAGAAGACATGCACAATTACTACTCTACTAAGAATAGAATAATGACACTTACCTTTATTGAAGATCTGGTGATGATTGATGGGATGGGAGGAGGGGGGAGTGTGGAAGTTATTGTTTAGAAGGGGAAAGCCCTTCCATTAGGACTTCAGGTAGCAAATCCTTTTCCGGGGTTACTTCCCTTCTTCTTTTAATGCCACTAGGACCAGCTTGAGTCACTGGACCTCTGTCGCACAACAAATCTGTCCATAGAGCTCTGTACCTCCCATTCCTTTAAGACTTTCCTAAAATGGGCCATAACATTGTCATTGTACAGGTTGCCAGCATGGCTTGCAGTAGCTGTGTCAGGGTGATTTTCATCCATAAAGGTTTGCAGTTCAACCCACTTTGCACACATTTCCTTAATCTCTTTTCTCAATTCCATACTAATTCTTGCCCTTTTTACCACAGGGATGGCACTAGAAGCTTTATTGGGGTCCATGGTGACTTATTTTGCAGTTACAAGCACTAAAAACACTGGGATAATGTGAAATGTACTGAATGTATGCGTAGATGCGACCGCACTGGCTGGCTTGTAAACACTGGCGCTGAGGCCACACATGGGACGCGTCCTGGACGAATCACGTAAGGCGAGTTTTTTATCGTGAGACAAGGCAAAATTTTTGTGTTCAAATGCTTCGTATGATGGATTTAACGTAACGCGATGCATTCGTAAGGCAGGGGTCCAATGTACTCCATTATTGCCTATGTGAGTATCCTTTACCCAATCCACGTTACCGAACCCAACGGGACATCTCAACAAAGTATTTCTGGACACAGCTGGAAGTTAAACAACACTGATGAGCCATAGGGATGTCAAGAGGTATTTCTTCAGTCTCAGGGTGGTCAGGAAATGGAATGCTTATAGTGAAAAAGTGGCAGAAGCAGGCTCTACACATAGCTTAAAGGGCAGGTATGATAGGAAACAGGTGGCTAGGAGGGAGTGAATCTAGCAAGTGGCAAGGTAAGAGGAGGGGCCAGGAGCTAAGACCTGATCCCTGTCAACAGCCATTAGAAGAATAAAGGATCTGAGAATCCAAAGGAAAACTCATTACTATCAAACAGGAACATAATTTTCAAGCAAACTTCAACCCCAGAGGAGTGATTTATCCACACAGTCTTTCAGTGTGCCTACAGCAAAGGACTTGGCAGAGTAACTCATGAAATTCCGTACTGATTTCAAAACATAAAAAATTATTTTATTAAATACTGAAATCTAGAATTTCCTAATTTTTGCCAATATTATTTAAAGAGCAAGTAAAATTTGTTCCCTAAATCCTTTATTAATTACTAGCTTTAGAGATTACAATGATCTTATTAATTTACACTGTTCCATCTCCTATGTATTCTAATCAGAAGATTGCAAATTTGGGCATCTGATAAGTCACTCATTGTTTTTGAAGAGGGAAACTTGGAACTGAAATGTAAACAGGTGAATAAACTTTTTTTCAGAATACTGATGTCATTAGTTTTCTCCACTTGTAAGATGGTATGGGGAAAGGTAAGAAAGGGAATTTTCTGTGACAAGGCTTTAAGCCTATAGCTGGCCTGCCATTATGATTCTATTGATCACATCTATATTATATTTCTGAGGTATGTTTTCACACCTCTTGTACCAATAGTAATACTATTCATCTGACAGGCGGATAAATGACTCTACTGAGCATCTACATCACTACATCACTCCATTTTAATTTGGGAAGGTACTGAACAATGAAAAATATCTAGTGAAATTTGCACTCCACAATGCCCAGTGTGCACCTGAATGAATGAGGTTTTGGGGGAAAGGTGTGGGTGCCCATACCTGTAAAAGGTAGGGATGTGGGTACCTGTGGGGTGCCTGTACCTGTGGGGGCGAGCTGGGTCCTGGTGGGGAAGAGAGCGTGGAGGTGGTGGAGGCAGAGGTGGATGTCTGCTGGTGGTGGTGGTGCTGTTGACGCTGGATCCCCTGCCGACGACGTGACTCCTCTTCAATGCTCATCTGTCAAGGCAACATCACAAATCAACATATCCTTTCTGCTGAACTCTTTGACCTGAATGGATTCCATAAAACCATCCTGAGTGAGATCTCTAGCAGAATTAAGCTAAAATAGATTTATCAGATAGGTTTGAGGGTTGTTTTTTTCTTATGAGCCATACAAAGAAATTACAGTAGTTATGCAGTCCAGTTGATTGTGTTATTTATTTTGTTTTTATTACAATACATATATAATTTGATACAACTGAAGGATCAGAAGACAGTCATTAATTCTGGCAAACTAATCATACAGCTTACATGCTACTTAAATCTAGACCTAGAATATAATTTAAGTCAGTATAGCTTGAGTAATTCATTACAATTGTAAGTACAGTGGACCCCCGGTTAACGATATTTTTTCACTCCAGAAGTATGTTCAGGTGCCAGTACTGACCGAATTTATTCCCATAAGGAATATTGTGAAGTAGATTAGTCCATTTCAGACCCCCAAACATACACGTACAAACGCACTTACATAAATACACTTACATAATTGGTCGCATTCGGAGGTGATCGTTATGCGGGGGTCCATTGTACAGTGGAACCTCAAATATCGAACTTTCTTCGGTCCAGAAGTCTGTTCGACTGCCTTTACCGAATGAATTTATTCCCATCAGGAATAATGTAAATTAGATTAGTCCATTTCAGGCCCTTAAAAATACACTTATAAAAGCACTTACAAAAATACACTTACATAATTGGTTGTGTTGGGAGCAGTTCGATTTTTGAGGTTCCACTGTACAATGACACCAGTTGCAAATGATGAATTGGTCAATTACAAATAATTACACTGAATTTACGTCACATTGATGACCTGCATTTTATGGCGTGGTTGAACTGAAGTGGTAAAATCATAGCATGAGAATTTACAGACAGTTAATGGATATAACATTTATGTGTGATTTAACAGGTGTTTTTTAACAATATTAGTAAAGATGTTGATAGATGGGAACTTCAGTCATTTTCAAGCAGCAAGTTTCAAATTTTTGGGCCTTTAATTCACATGGAGTTTTAGGACAGGTTTAGCCATATACATACATGGAATGTCAAATAAATGCTTGTTCCTTGCATAGTGTCTATGTGTTCTGTTGCAGCTGTCCATGCATAATTTAAGCTCTGGGTGAGTTAGTGTTTAAATTGAGTGTCCTTTAGACATAATGCACACACTAGAAAGCATCAATATTTTATATATTAAGCAAATTTAACTTCTGAATTGGTGTGTGTTGCTTGGAGCCTAAATAAGTAATTATTCTGAGAACTGATTTTTGCTGAGTAAAAACAGGTTTAAGGCAATTAGCTGTTGTTGATCATGATGTACAGATACCATAGGTAAGAGTAGTACAAACTGAGCATGGAAGTTTGCGAAACATAATAGCATATTTTCGAGAGAATGCAGTTTCTTAATTTTCTTTTTGAAATGTTCTGGAAGTGTGTGTTAAATTTTAGTTTGCTGACAAGGGGTATTCCCAAGAATTTACCCCTGTCTTGCCTATCAATTGGTGTGTTGTTTATTTTTATGTTCAAATGAACATTTTTTGCCCTTTCCCAAATGTTATTCAGATAGTGATGTCAATACTGAGCATGAGTTTGTTAGCTGTGATCCAGGTAGATACTTTAGAAAGTTGAGTGCAGTTTGATCATGATTTGAAATGATGAGAGTTATATCATCTGCAAACAGAATTGGTTTAAGCATCTGTGAAGTAGCTGGGGATAGGTAGACTGGGTTTAGATGGTCATCAATGAGGTAATTACTAACTTCGGAAGGGCATTTTGGGATTTTGCTTGGTAGATTAATTTAACATTAGCACATTATTTAAAATTGCAAATAAGTGGCATTTACGAACATAGACCAAGTCTCATTCAATACACTCTTTACCTCACATGTGTGCCCCATTTTTTAATATGATCTCTGTGGGTAGTAATCTAAAAACACCAGAATATAATGAGTCCAGAAACTCATTTCCACACTTTTAGTTATTGTAGTAATAAGACATTTATAATAGGCAAAGTAGGAATATTTGGGTAGGAGTTTTGGTAATGTTATCAGATAAAATATTTGTAAAATATTCAAACATTTGTGAGACATGTCCTTACAAGCTTGGATTTTTTCACATTCACATACAAAAATGTGCATTATATTGTATGCAATACATTACAGAGGAACCTCAGTTGTCAAATGGACTAATTGTCGAACAATTTGGTTTTTGTACATGGTCTTGGTTGTCGACTGACAACGCTTGGATCATGTGATCACCAGACAGAGTCCACAGCGTGGGTCTCAGTCAGCATAGCGATTAACGTACGTGCTGTAAATATCTCTTGAGCTCTTGCTGTGCATCTTGTGAAGGTAATGAGACCAAAAGTAAGAAATCTGATGGAAAACTTACGGAATTAAGCTATCGCAAAGTTAGCAGTCTCAGCGATATTTACACATCGGCAATTTCGTCCAATTTTAGCCCTATTTTGAGCCAATTCCATTGTTCCAGTCAGCCAAACTCATAGCTATTTTACTAGAACTCCTTTTATTCTATCGGATGAGTACAAGGAACTGCCCATTTACCTATTTCAACTACCCAATAAAGTGATCTGAAATTACTGATTTGGCCAATTTCACACAAAATTCAAAAAAGGCCAGTTTCAAAATAGGGTCCAGCATAAACAATGCAGACATTCCTGGCAATAAAATAACATTTTATCTATTTATTAGTCATGTCTCCAGGCCCCTCTGATATTACATTTGCTTTTCATTTTGAATTTTTATTCACACAAAAAACAGAAGATTTAGTGTTATTCAGACTACTGCATAATTGTAATAATTGTATAAATAATATCAGTGCATTCATGAATGCATATTAGACCCACCAGCTGATGTGTATTGGATGCATGAGATGATTTGTTTACTCTTAAACATTGGCAAAAACCGAACATTTCCACTACTTTGAGCTCAATTTCAAGCTACTTTTAGTCTTAAACCACTGAAAATCATCTCTATTTCTGTAATATATCTTCCATTCTATCAAATGAGACCAAGAAAATGATAATACAACCACAAGTACCATACAAAAATACACCGCAAAGTTGCTGTTTTAAACCAAAAACATGGTCTCAGTTTTTTCTCATTATGCACTGCATGCTGCAGGATGTTTTTATACTGTGCACACTAACCATGCAGACCCACTCTCTCACATGTAGGCCTACCACCTTTCTCCCGCAAGATTTGAAGCGGCTAGAATTTTGCCATTAGCTCTCCTCTTACAGGTAAGAGGCAGTTAAATTTTCATTTACTGTACAGTATTTCAGGTATAGGTGAGTACAAATAGAGAACGCGTCTGTCTGAGACTGAGCAGACGGAGGATCAAGCTTCCACCACGCCTTGCATTGAATGACCCACGTGGGTTTAACGCTTAACATGAATTATTAAAAAAAATGTACAGTATTTCAGTTAAATTTTCATTCAGTATTCATTTTTACAGTTTTTGTGTGCTGTATAATTTTATACATTGTTTTATGTAGTAGTTAGTACATTATTATTATTTTTTTTTTATTAACACATCAGCCGATTCCCACCAAGGCAGGGTGGCCCGAAAAAGAAAAACTTTCATCATCATTCACCCCATCACTGTCTTGCCAGAAGGGTGCTTTACCCTACAGTTATAAAACTGCAACATTAACACCCCTCCTTCAGAGTGTAGACACTGTACTTCTCATCTCCAGGACTCAAGTCCGGCCTGCCGGTTGGCCTGAATCCCTTCATAAATGTTACCTTGCTCACACTCCAACAGCACGTCAAGTATTAAAAACCATTTGTCTCCATTCATTCCTATCAAATACGCTCATGCACGCTTGCTGGAAGTCCAAGCCCCTCGCACACAAAACCTCCCTTACCTCCTCCCTCCAACTCTTCCTAGGTCGGCCCCTACCTCGCCTTCCCTCCACTAAGATTTATACACTCTCAAAGTCATTCTGTTTTGTTCCATTCTCTCTACATGTCCGAACCACTTCAACAACCCCTCCTCAGCCCTCTGGATAATAGTTTTATTATTAATAAATTATTATTAATAAATTTTATTATTAATAAATTATTATTAATAAATTTTATTATTAATAAATTATTATTAATAAATTATTATTAATAAATTTTATTATTAATAAATTATTATATTGTCATTTTTGGTCTGAAATGGATTAATTCTATTTACATTATTCTTTATGGGAAATATTGGTTTGGTTGTCAACTATTTTGGGTGTTGAACCAACATCTGAAACAAATTAAGTTTGACAACCAAGGTTCCACTGTATTTGCATTGTACAAGTGCTAAACTCATTTAAGTTAAGCTCTTTTCAATAATACAATAATAATGATCTGTTGAATCTTTAAGTGTAAAGAGAATGGTTTGATGACATACTTTTCTATGTAGACTACAAATAGAAACTATTTCTTCACATAGCATACAATGTGAGGGTTAAACGTTATAAAATATTGTGAAGAACAAAGAAAGCCACTAGAATGCCTGAGCATTTCAGTCAGACTAATCCTAATGCTTACAGAATACTTAAAACTAGACAGAGGTTATGGGAGTGGTAAATTTGAACTTGTCATTATTTTACATTAATACAAAAGAGAGGTAGCCAAAAATTTTAGAATTATTAAAGTTTATAGTAAAGAGGTTACAAGAATCAAATGTGCACATGAAAGAGTCAGCTCACCAGCAGGGTAGTGGCAGATTTTTTATTAGGACAATGTTAGAAACAAAAAAATTAGCAGTGTGCTAGTACTGACCGCTGGCTGTGGATGGCTAGAGTCATTGGCCTCATAAGTCTTCTCAAATCTGTTGCGCCACACAATGCGGCGCACTTCCCCACCTTTGGTGTCGTCCAGAGCATCCTCGTCATCACCACTGTAGGAAGAGGGAAAGGATTTAAGATGTTCTGAGTTTATGGGGCATTGACATTCATCCAGTGAATATGTAACCATAACAGTAGTATACCTCACCCCAAATAGATGAGGTGCCATAACTTCAAGCACAGCTTCATCCATGTAAATGCATGCTTGCATAGTCATAACTTCATGCATTAGCACTTTCAGACCTACACACCTGGATACCTCCTACACACCTAGACAGGATATATACAAAGAGGTATGCATATCTCAGGGTATATACATCTCAGTGTTTATACAGTATACTGAATTTATTTAACCTTTTCACTGCCTGTCATATAAATCTGTCAATGATGCCAGGGTCCCTCATGCATATCATCATTTTGAGCTCAACTTCCTCAGATAAGTTGTGAATGGTAAATTTTGGTCTAGATATGAGAGAGTGGGTTTGTGTGGAGAGTTTGCACAGTATAAAAAACAATCCTACCCCATGCAGTGCATGATGTTTGGTTTAAAATACCAACTTTGCAGTGTTTTTAAGATGGTTTTTATGGATGATATATTACTGAAACAGAGATGATTTTGGTTGGTTGTATGCTTGAAAATTGCCTCAAAATATCGGAAACATTCTATTTCTGTTGAATTTCCTGAGGACTGGTAAGGCCCCCCTACATCCTCTGGTCCTTTTAATGGGTTTTTACTACGTCTCATTCAATTATTGCAATGCCATAAACCTTGCTCAATCATTCCTGGTTATATTTCATTATCTGAGAAATATCTTAACTCTTTTTTTTATATAACTCAAAATGAAAGGCAAGTGTAATATAGGAGAGGCCTGGGGACATGATTAATGAACACAGGATATGTTTTAGTGCCTGGAATGTCTACAGTTTTTGTTTCGGACAGTGTTTAAATTAAATTTAATTTTGTGTTAAATTACCCAAATCAACAACTTCTATGCACTTCATGGGGTAATTCTGATTTATTTATTTTTTTTTTTTATTTATTATAAATTTGTGCACACATACAGAGGTACAAAAAAATACAGATAAGAGCAGTATGCCAAAGCCACTTATACTATGCATAGCATTACAGGCTGGCTTAAAATTAACTTAAGATTAACTAAGCAATGATGAAGTCAGTGATAAAACATTAATGTAAACAGATTACTATAAAGCACAAGTGAGTATTACAAAGACAGGTCATATGAAGGATTCTGTTAGGTAGTGTATTTAAAAAATAATAAAGTTAGATTGGGTTTTAGGTTTAACATTTATGTGATATAATTGTGGAAAACATTTAAGATATACAATTTATAAGGTTCAGTTATTCAGTATTTATTTGGTTTTGGGTGGGTAAGTGATCTTTGAGTAGAGACTTGAATTTATAAACAGGTAGTGTTTCTTTTATATATGAATGGGCAGTGTCTTGTGCTCAGTCACTAGAAAGGGAGGCATACTACCTAAGAATCTGACTGAAATGAGCGATGGAATTGGCTTAAAATAAGACTCAGAGTGGGCGACTGAAGATACATAGTGACTGGATATCAAAGAGGAAGGGGTAGGAGAAAATTTACCAGGCAGTTTATATTACATGGATCATGAAACTACAAACAGCAGCTAATGTTCCTACTTACTCGTATTTGTTGGTGTGTGAAGTAGAGGTGATGGTGCCATTGATGAGAGTGGTGGTGGGGCCAGTGCCTGAAGGAAAGTGAACACATTATACACAGCATCACCAAACTCAATGGCCTTTGCCAGTCAGCTATACTGACTTGGTTAAGATAATTTCTTCAGTGGAGTAGGGAAGATATTATGGTAGGTTAACAGGCACTTTATTTTCCTGAATAATTTGGGATTAAAATATTGGTAAATATAATCAGATAAATAACAGTATATATGAATTTTATTTTATATTACGTATTATATTATTGAGAACAAATGTTAACTTTATTAAGCGTACGTTAAGTGTCAAAATATATATTTTATAAACTAATAAAGAAATTAAATATTAGAATTAATATATTTGGGATATTCAATATAAAAGTACCATAGCCCAGGCCTAACCTTGGAACCACTGAAAACTATTAGCACATAAAGACAGAGAAAAATTAAGCCTTGATAGTGAGTATTAATCACTTGCTGAGCATGTTGACTGTGACTCAGATAATGTTACCATGTAATCAATTACCCAAAAAATCAAAGCTCAATAGTTCAGACTAAGATTAGTTGTGAAGAAGATAGTGAGTGATCATGGCAAGCAGACAATGAGATGTACAAGACACTAAACATTATCATGATGCAAGCTACACAACATAAACAACACCATTCACACTAACACTTACACACACAGATTTTCCAAGCCATATGTTTGGCATTTAAATTATGTTTTACATAGACTTATTTTAGTAAATGAAAATTAAAACTTGAACACACATTATATCATTAATTGGTCATAAATAACTATAAAAACATTAAAATTTACATCTTATCAAAGATGAAAAGCTGGTTCAAATGATAACCAAAGCAAATTAAACTGGCAACCAAACACCATACTAAACAAAAGCAGTGACATTATTTATATATAAAATACAAGCCAATACAAATGTCCAAGCATTTATAGTTACTGAGTAATAAACAGCAGCCATGAAGTGTCCTGTTAAGGGCTTCCTTCTAAATTACTTTAGTTTTCTGATAAACAAGTCTGACTTTTCGTGATTTTAAACCTCCTAGCCTTGTAAAATTTTGTACTGCCTCCCAGAAGAGTAATGCATTCTCTGGGAACTCTCCATGTAATGACTGGGCAATGGTACTAAGCAGGAGAGGGAATGACAAAAAAAAGGGCAGGGGCAGTAGCAGCAGAAGGAACACTCGAGGCGGGTTACCAGCTGGGCCCAGCCACACAGGCACCACTGACACACCACACAACACCCACTTACTCCTCTTTTCTCTTAGCACTTTCTGCTGTGAAGCACTCTTTTCTGATTCAGTGGTTCTCTTAATGAGACTGGTGGTTAGGTGCGATGTATGTGTGTTTTTGCTAGTGGAGAGGCAACAGGCCTCAGCTGCAGCAAGAGTCAGTGCTACTGCTGGATCTACTGAGTCCTGGATAACATGTTCTACAACCGCATCTTCTGCAGGAGCAGTGTATACTGTCTCCTTATTTTTCGTAGTCATATCTCCAACAGGAACTACACTGACAGGAATATTACCAGGAGAAGTTTCTGCTTTTACAGGAGATAAATCTTTTGAGGACGTGGCACCTTTTACTCTTAATTCATTTGTTTTTGATACAACAGAGATGTTGGTTGACACCGAAGAGCTCTGAACTTCAGTTTTTCTTTGTTCTTTATGCTTCGAGTCTTCTAGTGATGAAATAAGATAATCCAATTCATTGATATTCTTACGAAGTCGTCCTAAAGTGGAATAATCAGAGCTAGCAGTACGAGAGGTTTTCATAGTGTCTGTTTTAAGAGATTCAGTCTCGCTGGTGTCTGGTGCTGGAACATGGCTTCCATCCCCACCTGTGGGGCCAGGTGGGCACATGTCAGTTCATTTTGATTTTATCTCCTGTATACTGTACTAACTTTCCAGACATATGGTTTGTACTACTAATCAACACTGATAACAGTGTTTACTATCATTCTTTCCATTATTCTTGCATTCTTTGCACTTACTGACATCCGTTTGTGTTTTCTGATAATAATGTATCTGCAAATAATTTCATCTAAGGACAAACAATTTACAATGTTCGCTAACATTAATTGTTTTCTAACAGTCATTTCTTTCTAACATTCTTCTCTCTTATGTTACTAGCATACTCCTCTGTTACCTATTGTTCTCCTGTTTGCTAATACCCTACTGATGCCCAAGTATCTCTTTGATATACCACATGTACAACTCAACTTGTTCAGAAACTCCATGCAAATAAAAAGGCCCAAAAATCTGGAAGTTGCTGCCAGAAAGTGCCAAACATCCCTAACCTTATATGCCAACACCTTAAACATTATTAAAAAGCATTCATTAAATCTTACTTAAGTGGTATAACCAGTAAATGCCCATAAATACTCGTGAAATATTTTCACCACAATAATTTTACTGCTCCATAAAATGCATATCATTAATCCAAGATAAATTTGATGTAAATTATCTGTAACTGCCTAAAATTATATGCTATGACTAGAATTAAGCACTGTAGTAAGTTCTAGGATTAGTTTGCCAAAAGTTTTTTTTAAACTGGCCACATCCCACTGAGGCAGGGTGACCTAAAAAGAAAAACATAAGTTTTTCTTTTCAAATTTAGTAATTTATACAGGAGAAGGGGTTACCAGCCCCCTACCAAAAATGGTATGCATAAAAAGCAGCTTTCTTTTAGACATTCAATTTTATCAAAGTGTCTCTTTACTATAATTGTATCAAAACTAACCAAATGTACTGTAAACTTCCATATATGTCCAATAAGAGATAAAGATTTTATTTTTACTCAAATATGATACTTCGGTTACTAATGTTTTCCCTTTAACTACATTTTTTGGTTTGGTATAATTCTAGTGTGTGCTCATTCTAATAAAGTGCTGTTATTCTTCCTGTCATGATACAACCTTGTTTATTACCATTTTTCATTAACTCTACAACTTTTGGTAGTATTCCTATCTGCTTGTACAGTCCTTTTTCTCCCTTGACTGGCATGCTCTCTTTTTGATAACATTCATACTAAATTCTTTACCAGAATAATACCAGAACTTTTAAAAGTTTATTCACAAGTAATCCACACACACACCTGAATCAACATTCTATAATTCTTGGAAATAAAGTTTGACTTTGACACTGGAAATTAAAATTTTGGTGATGTACTGGTCCATCTGGACTAATACATATTTAGATGATAATGGGCCAGGATGCAACAAAAAGTATTCCATTTATTCATCAGTAATTTGTGCGTTACTTATAAATTGTTCTAGCCTAATTATTGTAACTTTGTTCTTCAGGTGTAATATTTGTCAAGTGTGCCTCTTGGCACAGATTGAAATCAATCTATAGTACTGTATTAAGTTACCAATATATGTGTAATTTTAATTTTTTAGGTATATGCTTCTCTTAAGCATTTTTCACATTTTAACACTATGATGTGTTAATTTTCGTGCAGCCAAACACAACTCAGCACTAAGAACAAAGAATATCATGGGTTAGTTTAAAAGATTCCTAATTAAGCCCAGAAATTATATTTCTGAACCTTATTTTTTTGTTGTTACTAAGCTAATGCACTAGCTGAAATTAAGAAATTTCTATACACTCTCAAAACATCAGTAAAGTTAAGAAAATTACAATTAAATTTCAGTCTTGCAGTAGATACTCAAGCCAGCTTCTTGAAAGTTCTTCAGTCATTTACTTTTGTAAATTTTAACTAGAAACTTACAAACCACAAGATTAAAATGCTATTGCTATAATCCAAGTTAAAGAAATACTAGAATGATATAATCCATCTACAGATTGTAAGTATTTGACTATGTATAGTTGCACATACAGGAGGTCTTCTTTATTAAATAGTATTCACAAATAATGACCAGAACTTGTAATTTATTTTAGATCAAAATTAGGATACTATTTGTTTCAATTTGACTGGCAAAGCATACATAATCAACTTATTTGTAATTATTGGTACAATAATTTGCACTATTACTATATAGGTGTTTAAAACTAAATTGTGGTCATAAAGCTAGGCCACAATCATCCTCTGGAGTCCTAGAAATTAATGCTAAAAATACTTTGATACCTAATAGGTATTAAGGTAAATTTAGCATATACACAGATATACATCCTACTCTATAAACTCTGTTAACCCTGTATACCAATACAGTGGTACCTTGACTTCCTAGTCGCCCCAACTTATGAGTTTTCCGAGTTACGAGCTGTCACTCAGTTGATTTTTTTGCTTTGAATTGCGAGCCAAAATCTGAGTTATGAACGAGCATTAAGATACGCCACCACTAGTTGACGCAGCAAATGACCACAACAGAGCACCTGGTTACCTCACCATGGAAGCATCACTTTTGTGTTGTGCTTGCATTTTGTGCAGTTATTTTGCCAAATTTCTTTTTTCTAACCATGGGTCCTAAGAAAGTAAGTGCAAAGAACAGTGCTGAGAAGAAGAGGATGATGTCCATTGAATTAAAGCATGAAATCATAGAAAAACACGAGCGAGGTGTGTGTGTAGTCAACTTGGTGAAGCAGTACAAAGTGTAGTATGTACTTTGTGCTTCTTGCTTTCTCCGCGAGAAGACATGAGGCATTTACGCTGATTTACTTCCGAGATATTCACCCACAATGTAGGCCTGTCTCCTGACTCAAAGAAAAAGTGATCTAGTGCAGTTAGCCTCACAAACACTCCATTTTCTCTTATAATAAACAGAAGGGCAAGAATGGGAAGATATGGCCAGAGCAATAATTATTTTTACCTTGGGAGTGGCTGCCATCACTCGTCACATAATGACATTCATTCTAGAGTATATATATCATGTTTCTAAGTTATTTATATTGTTTATGATGTCATATTAGATCAACTGTGATAGATAAATAAGCTGTAGAGTTGATATTAGTGTTATATTGAAGTATTTTCTTCTGCCTCTCGAGAGCCAGGAATTCCACTGGAACGGATTAATGGCATTTCAATTAATTTCACTGAGGAAAACTGATTTGATATACAGTGGACCCCCGACTTATGATATTAATTTGTTCCAGAAGACTGCTCAGGTGCCATTACCGAACGAATTTGCTCCCATCAGGAATATTGTAAATTAGATTAGTCCGTTTCAGACCCCAAAAAATACACTTACAAAAGCACTTACAAAAATACACTTACATAATTGTTCGAGTTGGGAGCTGATCGTAAGTCGGGGGTCCACTGTACAAGCAAATTTAGTTACGAGCTGGGTCACGGAACGAGTTAAACTCGTAAGTCAAGGTACCACTGTATTGTATTTCAATCTTAGTGTACATTAAACAGACTTGACTTAAAGAAAAACATACTAAATCTATACCTTATATATAGTCTTGTAATCCAACACTTATCTTATTTTTGTTAAACTTTCGAATAAGTCTTACCGTTAATTCTATAACTGCATGTATTATCTTAATCACTTCTATTATATTGCCACATGCTGTATATTGAAGCTTTAAGTACATATATGGCGATACACTCTTACTTAACCCCTTGACTGTCGCAACTCCAAATCCTGAGGTATCTCCTGGTGTTGAAAAATTTTTGAAAAAAAAAAAAAAAAAAAAAAATATTTTTATGAAATGATAGAGAATCTTTTCCCGATGATAATGACACCAAAAGAACGAAATTTGATGGAAAACTTATGGAATTACCCTCTCACAAAGCTAGCGACCTCGGCAATATTTACGAAACGGCGATTTCACCCACTTTGAGCTCTATTTTTGGCTAATTCCACTTTCCAGTCGACAAAACTCATATATATTTCTTTAGAACTCCATTTGTTCTATTGACTGAGTACAAGAAACTGCCCATTTACCGATTCCAACTACCCAATAACGTGGTCAGAAATTTGCAATTTGGTCAATTTCACGTAAATTAAAAATATGCCAATTTCAAAATAGGGTCCAGAATGAACAATGCAGACATTCCTGGCTCTAAAATAACATTTTCTTTGTTCATCAATCACGTCTCCAGGCCCCTCTGATATTACTCTTGCTTTCTATTTTGAATTTTTATTCAAACAAAAAATAGAAGATTTACTATTATGCAGACTACTGCAATATTGTAATAATTGTATAAATAATGTCAACTCATTTATGACTGCATATTAGAATGGATAGTTGGACATTTATTGGACAATGACATCATTTGTTTACTTTTGAACATCGGCAAAAATCAAACTCCATTTCAAGGTTCTTTTCATAGTAAAACCAATCAAAAATCACCTCTATTTCTATAATATGTTTTCCATTCTATCAAATGAGACCAAGAAATCGAGAATACAACCATAAATACTATACGAAAATACACCTCAAATTTGGCGTTTTAATCCAAAAACACAGTCGGAGATTTTTTTTTCTCATTATGCACTGCGTGCTGCAGGATTTTTTTTATATGGTGCACACTGACCATACAGACCCATTCTCTCACATGTGAGCCTACCAGCTTTCTCCTGCTTGATTTGAAGCCACTAGAATTTTTGAGTATATATACGTCAAACACGGTGGCTCGTAAGACGTATATATACGACCAAAACAGTCAAAGGGTTAATGTAACTATTATATATAATTTTATATTACTATATATATTTGTGGAATATATATTCTATGACTGTCTGCCCTCCCTTCCCCACAATAGCCATTACATACATTGTCATACTAGCAGAAATGCTACTTATTAATGTTGTACTAAATATTCTTTTCAAACCAATGCTTTATATAATACCTACATGAAACCCCAATTATGACTTTTTTCTATAGATAATATGGTACTGTATTTATCTAACTGCAGCCAGTACAGAAATTTAGTATTAGGGGCAAAGTTGAAGGACTAATATATATCAATAATATCCAGTAAAAAATCACTTTAAGTGAGTTAGAGAATAAAAGTTATGATAAATATTGCAGAAAAACATATTACAATACAGAATGTTAGATAATTTACTACATTTTTTCTAAGAACATGTATATGCACACACAAACAGATTACCATCACCAAAGACCATTGCTGGCACAAGTACCCCAGCTACATCCACCACCACAACAAGGGCCCTGACAGAAGCTAAGTCACATCACAATCATTGTTTGCCAAATTTCAAAGAACAATATCAGGTGTGAATGAACAAAAAATATTTTATTTTGTGGCTACTTTTACTGATCACAGTGTATTATTTTCAGAAATTTGGCTTCAGGAATACATACGTATACAGTGCCTGGTTCCTCTCTTACTGCAAACTTTAAATTATGAGACATTTTTAACAGGTAAAAATGTATTTATAGCAGTGACACCATAATTCTCAACTCAGAAATGTTTACCATGTTATGTTGTTTATTGCAAAAAAATAGTGCCTTCTAGCTTAATTCATGATTTTCATGTATATTCTATCGTAATGATGCACAATATTAGAATATGAAGTTTATCAAGTATAATAGTAGAGCAGACATCCCACTTTTAAAAACACATAGGGAACCCAAGCACAATATAACAGAACATAAAGACAAACAGATGAAGACAGACAGCACCCCAGCTTTGCACACAAACACAAGATAGCATAACAAATTCTTATTATTTTAGAGAGGTTCGCCCCTACACCGGCAGCATGTGGGAGGGAGTGAGGGTATCAACACAACATTCCACCTCACCTATACTGGCCAGGGCATCAACCAATTTGTTTGCTACTTTCTGGGAAGCACTGATAACTGGAAATGAGTTGTTAAGTACAAGTTAGTGTGTGTGTAAAGGTAGTGCTGATATTTTGTTTCAATGGTCATGAGTTACCCTGTGCTCATACAGATGTATAAAAAAACTTATGGGTAAAGACTAAGCTGAGGCCTTCTTGATATGCTATGAACTAATAACAATGCTTAGCTCAAAGAAGCAGATTCTAAATTCATACAAAAATCTAAAACATTTTAATGACATATGCTTCTACTACTACTGTATATTCTATTACAGCAAAATAAGAACAATAGTTGAAGCAAAGGAATAACAGCAGTGGAACTTGTTGAGAAAAGGAACTAGAAACAAGAATAATTGTGATAAACACTGAGTAAAATTGTGATCATGCCACAGCAACATGCTACACACCTATTCCTATCTTAAATTAACTTTCATTGTATTAATTACCATTCCTTTACAACGATCAACTGTAAAAATACAATTCTAAATCAATTTTTTAATGTACAGTAATTCATACCATGGTATTCTGCATGTAGTTACTTTAGTGAAAGTAAGGCTAATATCCTATACTGTCAACTGTTAATTGCAATCAAAAAATATATTCATATACATGTACTATGTTGCATGTACTGTAAATAAAACTACCAGAAAGCTAGCATGCTAGAAATAAAACAAAACTGTGTAAAATGCTATATTTTTTGGAATTTTATATAAAATAATAATTCACATATCCTAAATATTATTTTTTTGTTCATGTACGCTCATGAGATGATACAACGATCACAAAATGATACAAAGCTATCTTGATGAGCAAACTGGGAACTGTTTTCAGTAAAACAGCAAGATTTATCATACTATAACTATGGTTAGGCTGATTTTTATCATTATGGATGTGTCTAAATCTTTACATGACATAACACTGTGGTGAATGTCTGCTTTTAGGCAAGAGTCAGTGCTCAGAAATCTATTTCAGTTGCATTATTATGTATTAATTAGTTTTTTAATATGTCAGCCGTTTCCCACAGAGGCAGGGTGACCCAAAAAGAAAGAAAAACTCAAAAAGAAAAAAAAAAAAAACTTTCATCATCATTCAACACTTTCACCATCATTCATACACAATCACTGTCTTTGTAGAGGCATTCAGATACGATAGTTTACATGTCACTCCAAACAGCCAATATCCCAAACCACTCCTTTAAAGTGCAGGCATTGCACTTCCCACCTCCAGGACTCAAGTCCAGCTAACCGGTTTTCCTGAATCGCTTCACAAAATATTACTCTGCTCACACTCCAACAGCTTGTCAGGTCCCAAAAACCATTCGTTTCCATTTACTCCTATTTAACATGCTCATGCACACTTGCTGAAAGTCCAAGCCCTCGCCCACAAAACCTCCTTTACCCCCTCCCTCCAACCTTTCCTAGGACAACTCCTACCCTGCCTTCCTTTCCCCCTACAGATTTATACACTCTCCAAGTCATTCTACTTTGTTTCGTCCTCTCTAAATGACCAAACCACCTCAAAACCCCTCTTCAGCCCTCTGACTAATACTTTTTGCAACTCCACACCTCTTCCTAATTTTCACACTCTGAATTTTCTGCATAATATTTACACCACACATTGCCCTTAGACACATCTCCACTGCTTCCAGCCTCCTCCTTGCTTCAGTATTTACAACCCATGCTTCACACCCATAAAGAGTCTTGGTACCACTACTCTCATACATTCCCTTCTTTGCCCCCATGGATAACGTTTTTTGTCTCCACAGATACCTCAAAGAACCACTCACCTTTTTTCCTTCATCAATTCTGTGATTAACCTCATCTTTTATAAACCCATCTGCTGATAAGTCAACTCCCAAATATCAGAACACATTCACTTCTTCCATATTTCCTCCCTTCAATGTGGTATCCAATTTTTCTTTATCTAAATCGTTTGATACCCTCATACCCGGTGGCCTGGTGCGGTGGCCCGGTGGCCTGGTGGCTAAAGCTCCCGCTTCACACACGGAGGGCCCGGGTTCGATTCCCGGTGGATGGAAACATTTCGACACGTTTCCTTACACCTGTTGTCCTGTTCACCTAGCAGCAAATAGGTACCTGGGTGTTAGTCGACTGGTGTGGGTCGCATCCTGGGGGACAAGATTAAGGACCCCAATGGAAATAAGTTAGACAGTCCTCGATGACGCACTGACTTTCTTGGGTTATCCTGGGTGGCTAACCCTCCGGGGTTAAAAATCCGAACGAAATATTATCTTATCTTATCACCTTACTCCCTCTCTCCTATACACCCTAACCTGAGCCTCACTATCCTCATAAAAACTCTTTACTGTATTTAGTAACTTACTACCTATTCCATACATGTGCAACATCTGCCACATTGCTCCCTTATCCACCCTATAATGTGCCTTGTCTAAATCCATAAATACATACAATGAAAACTTCTTTACCTTCATCTAAATACTGTTCACATATCTTCAATGTAAACACTTGATCTACACATCCCCTACCTATTGTAAAGTTCCTTGTTCATCTGCAATCCTACTCTGTCTTACCTCTAATTCTTTCAATAATAACCCTACCACACACATTACCTGGAATACTCAGTAAACGTATTCCCCTATAATTTTTACAATCTCTTTTGTAACTTTCCCTTTATATAAAGGAACTATACACACTCTGCCAATCCCTAGGTACCTTCCCTCTTGCAGTCATTTACTGAACAAAAATACCAACCACTCCAACACTATACCCCCCCCCTCCCCTTTTAATATTTTTTTGTCATGATCTTGTCAGTTCCAGCTGCTTTACCCCCTTTCATTCTACACAATGCCTCATGAACCTCCCCACATTCACATCTGGCTCTTCATATTGTGAATGAATTTAGAGTTATATTATATATACTATGTGCCATATTGTTTATCATTAAATTAAGTTTTGTAGACTGAGGCAGACACCCCTCAGTATACACACCCAATGAGGAAGATTGCACATCTCTTGATATACTGTAAATGTCATGCCCTAATAAACAACTTTTTCAAAAAAATTATATTATGATAGGTGTTTCTAGATGTACATACTGTCATTAACAGTTTACTCTATGTATATTTTTAATTATGTGCCAAAATTTTTTATAATGAATTTAATATAATTTAGAATAATTCTACTTAACCAATCAGGACAGCCCAAATTTACTTACCATTATTTAATATCACTGGAATACTCTGTTAATTCACACTGATTTTCATGGAGTTATTGCAACAATGAAGTTATACTCCACTTATATTGGAAAAAAATTGCGACTTTGTCAGATCTCAAACTCTGTCTAAAAGCATGACATTTTATTCCATTATTGTATCTTAGAGACAAAACTATCTTTTCTGGTTACTTTAAACTTGAAACACAGCATAAGATAATATTCATTGATTTAAATTATATGAACAGGTACAACATCAATTTTCCTGCAACAGATAGTCCAGTACCTATTTTCATCTAGACATAATTACAAAAGCAGCACAGATGGCACTGTATGAAGAGCACATCACTTATATTGTTTACACTGCAATTGTTGGTGGTGATCCCTTGAATTTGTGCACTTCTTAGCATATTCTGGTAACTTATAACCCTAGAATATGGCTAGGATTAATAGGTATATTAACTTCTCAATAGCTATGGCACTTGACAGGTTAACTGAGTTGCCAAGTGAATTAATCTGAGTTGTCAGGTGAATTAATCAAAGGGCTAGATACAGGAAGTGTACTAGTGGGTCAGAAGTGTATTGTTGAATTATTATTATATGACCTCTGTTGGTCCAGAAAAATCAATATTCAGGCAAGGTTTGGAAACTAAGAGTGCCAGATAATCAGTGTTATACCTGTATAAGTAATAATGAATAATGTACTACTGTAAACTCTACAGTACATTATTTAGTTATGTATGTTAGATTTAGTTAGCATCATCCTTTGTTTAGAGCAATTTCAGTACAATAAGTTTACCACAGACTGCTTAAAGTGTGTAAATAGCTTATTCTGGAAATACATGTTTCTAATATTGCCTAACAAAATGTGCTAGTCTGAATGCCATCTAACTGACTATATGGCATTTCATAAGACAAACTATTTAATCCGTGCAATATTTAATATAACCCACCAATGCAAAACAAGCAATTCATCTCTAGTGAACTCGATGTTTTAATATATGAATTGATATTCTTATTATTATTACTGTATATCCAATGTCTAATGGTAAGCAGTGAATTGGAAGCCTACCAGTAATTGTCTGGCTTTTAATAGTCATTTTTTAATTGATCATGTAATGTATACAGTATACATATATACTTATTATTCTCACTGCTTAATGTTTTTGAGCCCTAAAATTGTTTGAAGCTCTTTTGTTACAAATTATACATATGTACCTTTAACTCTATTTTTATCCTGATGCAAAATGATATTTTTAATAAAATATAAAATAAATACTGTATACATATACACATTGATCAACCTAGAGTAAATATGGCAAAGACAAAATAAATACTGTACTTATTAATAGTATTATAAAGGATGAGGTGAATAACAAGTTGCTTACCCTTGGTGTCTGGCAGAGCTTGTGGGGAGACCTGAGGTGAAGATTCAGGGGCGAGTGAGGGTCTGTCTTCCAGGCTGCCAGCACTCAGTGAGTTATACGTCGAGTAAGTCGACTTCATGATTTTCTTCTGGTAATGATTTGTCTGAAAAATGGAATCCCACATATATAAACCAAATGATCATCGAGTAAGTGCCTATTAGTGTATGTGTCAGGTAATGCTGAAGAATACTCTAGCCTCCCATATCTGGCCAAATGGATACAATTTTCTTATTTAAAAATTATAACTAAAAGTGTATTTGACACAATGGCTTTATCTTCAATATCAAGCTGTCATAGAACATGCAAAAGTAATTAACAAAACAAGGAAAATGATGTTAGTCTAAGTGGAAATCCCACTTGCAGACCTTCGTTAATAACAAGCAGCAGTTAAAACCACCACTGAGGTGATGTAGCTCACCTAAATGGAAGGTGTATCTGTGCCAACTAAGGTTCAGGTAAACACTTCATTCCCATCCCCATCCCTATCCCCATCCCCATCCCCATCCTCCTCCTCCTCCTCCTCCTCCCCCACTCCCTAGCCATACCCTCCCTGTCACCCACACCTTCACCCATATAGCAGAAGCAGCCAGGAGTACATTTAGGCTAAAGCAAATCTACAGTACTTACAGTGGGAGATTTCAACCAGAGAGAAATAGACTGGGAGAACTGGGACCCACATGGGGTGCCAGAAATATGGAGGGTTAAGTTGACTGAGGTGATTAGAGAACTTTCCAAGTCAGTACATTAAGGACATGACAAAAAAGAGAGAGATAGCAAGCCAGCAAGACTAGACCTAGTGTATACCACAAGATATCAAACATAGTTGAAATAGAATATGAGAGCCATTTGAGCACTACTGATCATGCAGTGCTGAACTTTGAGTACCTAACAGAACTAAAGGCAGAGGAAAATACATTAGGTGGAGAGAGAGTAAAAAGTCAGCCTTTAGAAGAGGAAATTCTGAGGGAAAGGGGGGGTAAGAGACTTCCTGAATGTAGTGGAGTGAGACAGATAAGTCAGTGGATGAGATAACGAGTACAGTGGATCCTTGAGTTTCGTAAGCCTCGCGCTTCATAAATTTCTCCTTTCGACAACTTTTTTCATCAAAATATAGCCTTGTGGTTCGTAATCTTGCCCCCCTAATACCACTCCTTTCATCCAGCCCATGGAAAAGCAGATCATTTCAAACTGCAAAAAACTCTACACCAAAGCAGTGTTTCAAAGGTGCTTTGATGTGACCTCAGACACTCAAATGACCCTACGAGAGTTCTGGAAAGATCACTTCAATATCCTCCATTGCATAGGCCTTATAGATAAGGCTTGGCAGGGAGTGACTTCCAGGACTTTGAACTCTGCTTGGAGAAAATTGTGGCCAGATTGTGTCCTCGACAAAGATTTTGAAGGGTTTGAGGCTGACCCTGACAACCCTATGCCAGTTGTGGAATCTATTGTGGCACTGGGGAATTCCATGGGGTTGGATGTGGCTGGCCAGGATATGGAAGAGTTGGTGGAGGACCACAGTGAAGAGCTAACCACTGAAGAGCTGCAAGACCTTCATCTGCAACAGCAATAGACCACAGCTCAGGAAATTGCTTCAGAGGAGGAGGAAGAGAGATGGAAGAAGGTCCCTTCTTCCAAGATTAAGGACATTTGTGCAAAGTGGAGTGAGGTGCAAACGTTTGTGGGGGACCATCACCCTGACAAAGCTGTTGCAAGCCATGTCAGCAACATGTACAATGACAATGTCTTATCCAATTTTCAGCAAATTTTGAAGAGACACCAGAAACACAGCTCTCTGGAACAATTTTTTGAGTGACAGGGGTTCAGTGACTCAAGCTTGTCCTAGTGGCATTTAAAAACAAAGAAGAGAAGTAACCTCGGATAAGGATTTGGTATATAAAGTCTTCATGGGAATTCCCCTTCCAAACAATAGTGTAACTTCTCCATCCTCTCCCCTCCTCCTGTCTTCCAGTCACCAACAAGAGTCTTCAGTAAAAGTAAGTGTGATGTTTTTATTGTTTTATACTTGATGTCTCATTGTATTCTTTATGTAAATCTATATTTAACATCTAAAAAATATTTTTTGTCAATACTTTTGGGTGTCTGGAATGGATTAATTAGATTTACATTATTTCTTATGGGGAAAATGGTTTTGCCATTTGCAAATTTCACCTTTCATCAGGCTCTCTGAAATGTATTAATTATGAAATTCGAGGGGTCCACTGTACCTAGCTAGAAAATGCAGGGAAGCCGAGGAGGCCTTCATGCCAAGAAGATTCAGAAACAACACAGAAAGACAGCCCTTGGTTCACCCAGGGATGCAAGGTGGCAAAAAAAAAAAAGGGATGGAAGAGAAGTGAGCAGATTAGATAGATACGAAATATCCTAGCATGAGGAGAGAGACTGAGACACAATCTGAGAATGAAATAGAAGCAAAGGCTAAGTCTGAACCAAAACTACTTCACAGCTACATCAGAAGATAAAAATAAAGCACCAGATAATTTGACTATGGAAGGAAGGAGGAGAGCTCACAAACAAGAAAATCTGTGAAGTGTTGATGTAATGATTTGAAGAGATCTTCTCAGTGGAAACTGGGGCAATACCAGAGAGGCTAAGAAACAAGGAGAACCAATAATGATAAAATGCACACAACAGGGATAGAAGTATTTTGCCTGCCTTGAAAAGGGCCATTAGTGTACAGCAACATTCCAGCCTAGAGAGAACAAATAATTTTAGGAGAATCATTACTGGCTTGGCATCCCTAGTTTTGAATGTTCTCATTATCCATCCTATCATTTTCCTAGCAGATGTGGTAGATACCCTGTTATGATCTCTGAAGGTGAGATTTTCCAACATTACCACTCCTAGGTCTTTCACATCAGCTTTTAGCTCTATTGTGAGACTGGAATTTGTTTTATACTCTGATACAGTTTTTATTTCCTCGAGTTTTCCATAGCGTGAAATTGAAATTTGTCTGCAATGAACTTCATATTGCTTTCTGACCCCAGGTCTCCAATTTTGCCTGCCTTGAAAAGGGCCATTAGTGTACAGCAACATTCCAGCCTAGAGAGAACAAATAATTTTAGGAGAATCATTACTGGCTTGGCATCCCTAGTTTTGAATGTTCTCATTATCCATCCTATCATTTTCCTAGCAGATGTGGTAGATACCCTGTTATGATCTCTGAAGGTGAGATTCTCCAACATTACCACTCCTAGGTCTTTCACATCAGCTTTTAGCTCTATTGTGAGACTGGAATTTGTTTTATACTCTGATACAGTTTTTATTTCCTCGAGTTTTCCATAGCGTGAAATTGAAATTTGTCTGCAATGAACTTCATATTGCTTTCTGACCCCCATTTAAAGACTTGGTTTATGTCTGCTTGGAGATTTGCAGTCCTCAGTGGATGACATCATGCAAATTTTGGTATCATCAGCAAAGGAGGACACAGTGTTGTGGCTTACATCTCTATGTTAGATATAAGGATGAGGAACAGGATGGGATCGAGTACTGCAACTTGTGGAACAAAGCTTTTCACTGTAGCCTCCTCTGACTTTACTCTGTTTACTAATATTCTTTGTGTTCTATTTGTTAGGAAGTTATAGATCCATTTACCTACTTTTCCTGTTATTCCTTTATCATGCATTTTGTGTGGTTACACCATGGTCGCACTTGTTGAAGGCTTTCGTAAAGTCTGTGTATGACTGCATTTGGATTTTAATTGTTCTCCAATGCATCCAAGACCATGTCATAGTGATCCAGTAGTTGTGAGAGACAGGAGCTACCTGCTTTAAATCCATGTTGCCCTGGGTTGTGCAATTGATGGGTATCCAAGTACAGTGGAACCTCAGTTTTCATAATTAATTCGTTCCAGAAAGTCTGACAAAAATGGAATTGTACAAAAACTGAAGCAATATTTCCCATAAGAAATAATGTAAATCCAATTAATCCGTTCCAGACACCCAAAAATATCAACAAAAAAATACATTTTATAGAGAAAACAATGAGAAATAAATATGAATGACTAATGAAATGGATAAATGAACATTTAACATCACTTTTACCCTTATTGAAGACTCTTGTGGGTGTATGGAAGACAGCAAGGAGAGGTTATTGTTTGGAAGGGGAATCCCCCTCCATAAGGACTTCTGGTATCAAGGCCTCATCTGGGGTTACTTCTTTTCTTTGTCTTTTACTGGCACTAGGACCAGCTTGAGAGTCACTGGACCCCTGTCGCACAAAAAATCTGTCCATAGGGGTCTGTTTCTGGCATCTCTTGAAGATGCGCCTAAAATGAGACAAGGAACTGTCATTGAACATGATGCAGACATAGCTTGCAACAGCTTTCTTAGGGTGATATTTCTCCACAAAACTTTACAACTCATTCCACTTTGCATACATTTCCTTAATCGCTGAAGAAGGCACATTCTCACAGTGCTCACTCAACGAGAAACAAAGCCAGACTGAGTCAGAATGCATGGGATGCATTGTTAGGGTGATATTTCTCCACAAACTTTGCACACATGTCCTTAATCACTGAAGAAGACACATTCTCAAAGTGCTCACTCAACGAGAAACAAAGCCAGACTGAGTCAGAACATGTGGGATGCTTTGTTAGGGTGATATTTCTCCATAAAACTTTTTAACTCATTCCACTTTGCACACATGTCTTTAATCACTGAAGAGGGCACATTCGAGAGCTAGGCCAGCATTGGTGGAGTGTGGATATGTCTTCTGAAGGTTCCTCAGTTGTTTATTGGTGGTGTAGGCCCTGTTTAGGCTCTGCTTCACCGTCTTTCTTTTCTTGTGTGCTTGTGTTGTAATTGTCTTCATCAGGCAGTGTTGTGTGGCCCACTTATGGGGGGTTCGGCTGAGATGTCGTTCGCCCCATAGGGAGGGACCCCCTTCCTGTCTCTACGCAGTTGACAACTGTTTCACTACCGTTGGACCAAGATATGGCTAGTGTGCCCCCTACTGGGATAAACAAACGGGCCCTTGAGGTTGACGACAGTGCCAGGCCCTTGTCTAGCCCAAAACTCCAACCCACCACTTGTCCAGACTATGCTCCTTTCCTCACACTACTCCAGACGTGATGTTGGTTCT